TACCGTATGTACACACACACGTAATTACTTTAACATTTCCAGGCAGATGAACGAATGCTCGCAAGCACAGACACTAGCTGCAGTAATGCCCTAAATGAGAGTGAAAGATCAACCTATTCACTGAAGGCTGGCACACTGGCACAGTGCACACCTGCTGACAGTCAGCTGCCAGTGAAGATCTATCATTTTCTGCTAAAGCACCATTATCAAGCATAATTTAGGCATGCTGGCCTTCTTCACTCTCCCCCGATGCACTGTCTGTGCCAAGACGCCGATTAGATTTCCCCCACATGTCCCAACAGCCCCGTGGGAAAAGGTCTTCAGTGAATGAACTGGCATTTGGCTCCATCTAATGGTGACCGGAAAAAGAGTCTTATCCTTGTCGTAAGTGCTGGAAACAATAACTTCTGGGAGGAAGTGTATTATGTGAGCAAAGACTACAAAATGTGTAAAGATCATTTGAGTCCTTTAATCAAAATGTATGAGGTAAGACTAACACTTTGTTTTTACTAGAATTGGCATCAGCTTTTTTCTGTTAGGCAGCTTAGTTTTTACGGCTGTTTCTTTTATTATTATAATTACTTGTCCTCGGTTAATGCAAAACATTTTTTGAGTTTTGCTTGGTTGCGATAAAAGATGTAGTGTCCACAATACAAATGGCTAAGGGATACTATATACACAGTTGACATAACAATGACTCTGGTGAGAAGTGACCATTAATACAACAAAAGCAAAACTCACTCAAACATGCAGTTTGTTTGTTGCAGTTGTTCTGGTTTTCATGTTTACTGTGTACTGCCTAAAAAAAACATCACAGTAGAAAACCTGTTGGTAACCGTAAAGAAGCTGTAGCTGTCCCGCCCACACACTGAGAAAACATTATACCAATAATGAGCACACACAGCCCTCAATAGTTTTTTGCTTAAATTATATACCGTACATCCACATTGATGCACAAACAAACTTGGGGCTTAGCTTAGTTAAGCACTAAGCAATTCTTTACTCTATCATCCTTTGCATATTCCCCGACTGGTTGGCTTTCTTCTTCATGTAGTTGTTCCTGTGTCTGTTGCTTATTGCCTGCCGATTGCTTTTACTTTTGTTGCAAAAAGAGGAAATTAAAACATGGTTTCTCTTGTTTTTTATTTGTATTCAATTGTGTGGGGGAAAAAATAGATAAATGGAGACATGTTGGATGTCAAATCTCCGAACGGATCACCCTATAAACACACTCCTTTACACACACTCCTTTACACACACATACCTGCATTAACAATCGCATCTATCTCCAGCTTGGTGATGTCCCCACTGTAGAGGGAAATCTTGTTGTCCAACTTTTTATTCCTCGGGTAAACTGTTTTTTCAGAACCGCCTAAAGATTTGACACAAACATACAGTACAGTCAGTTTCTGGATCAGTTTTATTTACCTGGTAAACTTGAAATAATACGTCTATAAATATTGATCCGATAGTTGACCAAAACAACTACAATTCTTACAATAGTGATATCTCAAGTGTTAAGCTAAGTTATAGAAGAGGATTATGTGTATTGTTATTATTTCTGACCATTATTTATTATGGGTCTACAGAGTTAAAAAGAAAATGAAAGGTATACAACATTAATTTAATAATTAATGTCGTAATCCTGAGCAGGATTTAGATCACAGCATAACACCATTCCACTATTCATTAAAGTAAAACATTTTAGAAAATCTTTACTGAATAGAGTCAACTAAAATATTCCAATACATTTGAGTAAAGCAGGGATTTCAAACTTCACCTACTTCCAAGGTGTGATGATATATTTACATGAAATGTCATCTTATGTCTGTAAGACATCTTTTACATTGTGTGTGCTTCATTTTCTTGACTTGTTACATATGACAATATTACATTTTCTATAAAAGACGTATCCATCTGTTTATATGTTGCTATTAATCATTTTAAAATGCTTTTGGTGTGATGTGGCCAAATATCTGATAATGCTACTATTCATGCTGCATCCCTCTGTTAAATTCTCGCTGGCACTACCACCCAACCCTGAATGAACCTGACAGAGACTGTGACTGATGTCGGGTGTCTGACCTGCAGTGGGAGTCCACACTGAGATGTCGTGCAGTGGCACAAAGTCAGACGTCCTGTAGTGCTGACGCCTGTCCGTCACAGACAGACACAGCAAGTAGTCTGAAAGAGAAAAATAAAGGAAGAGGACAGGAAGAAAATAAACTGTTAGCTAGATATAAAATACCCTTGTTATGTATTTTAAGAAACAGAGTACATGGTACTTCAGGAATACCAGACTGAAAAAAAGCTTTATGAAGAATAAAACAAAAAAGCCCATGCATACCCCCAATAAACGATTCATACAGCAAAACCTGAAGCATGTGGCGTACTATGATATTATTTTTAACATAATGAAATGTTCTTTAAACAGTTTGTTGTTGAAGTATAGATTTTCTTCATTCATTAATGTTTTATTTATTGTGCATAAACAGTATAGGCCTATTGTACGTTAATAGTATACAAGCTCCACTTTGATATAGCAAAACACAAAATATTATGCCTAAATAATTGTACTCTTTTTCGTTGAACATTTTTGTTTGATTGCTTGATCGCTTGTTTTAGGCATTTGAGAACTGAGGTAAGCTACATCATATTTTACCAAATAACTTATAATTCCGTTTTTTTTAAGGACACAATTAAAGAAATATTTCATTTTTTATCTTGAACTGATATTCAAAATAGGATGATGTTGTTGGTTCTACATATTTTATTCCAGGGTTTATATAGTTTGGTCTGTTTTCATTCTATATTTTTCTTTTACAGTGTATGCTTACTTGTGTGTTTTGTACTATTATTTGGTGTGTTTTTTGTTTGAAATGTTGTTGATTGTTTGTCGTCATTGATGAGTAGGCCTAATGCAATTTTTTATTTGTTAAATTAGGGGAAGATGAATGCGAAAAAGCCATTCAGGACTTCCTCTCCTTTACCCACTGGGGGGGGGGGGGGGTTCCATTGTGTGTATTGTTTATATTTTTATAATGCAAAAAAAAAGAAGGTCTATCTATCAGCCAGCGAGAGTTGGAGGTGTGTTTTGGTCATGTGACAGGCAGCACACATGTGTATCTTTAGTTTGTTGACAAAACACATTGCACGGTAGCTGTTGTAAATAGGCTATTACATTAAAATCTTCTCTTTCTTGGTTGAAGAGTCTCACCCTTGGTCTCCTTCCAGTCTCCATCAGCGGAGTTCAGGTTAAGTTTGCGGGCCATGGCGGTGACTGTTCCGGTGTGGAGAGACTGGACCAGAGCAAATGTGCTTACTCCCAGGGCGGCACCGAGGGCTACCTTTCCCAGCCAGCCTCGGAGTGAGGAGGAAGCCTTTACCTGGCTGGACCTCCAAATTGCTGCGTTTGTCGGTGTTGTGGAAAACTTTTCAGCTCGGAGAGCAGCGTTAATATGGCCGCGAGCAGGACCTGGGCGGCTTCCAGGAGTTACACCGTGTTTAAACCTGACACCGGCTGCCTGGAAGTCAGCACGTACACGGGACAGAGTAGTGCACCGTGAGGCTCTCATATATGAAAATAGAGCTGATATTTGAAGTGCCATGCCTGAGTGACGCCGAGGGGGCTCGGTTCGTGTTACGAAGCTTTACAAGGATCAGTGTCAGACACACCGGGGTTAGGTTTCGGTTTCGGTGTTACCAGTTGAACGTTGGTTAGGTTGGAGCTCATTTGCCATTTTTGTTTTGGACTTCCACATGTGGAATGCACCATTTACAAGGGGTGCTTGTAGCTTTTCGTTAACCACAAAACTGCTTTGTATCGTGTCATTGAACGAAGTACGATATCTAGGCCGGTATTTAAGAGTTCATATTATTACCAGCGAAAATGTATGCTACAATGTGACAAGTGCAGCTCTATGTTAATCTCACATGGAATGTAAATCCCCGACTCCGATGAAGTGGTGAGGCGGAAGCCAACGACCACAAATCCACGCCTCCTATCTAGATTAAAGAAGTACACATCAAAATGATATGTTCAATAGATTTGTATGTATCCAAATATAAGTTATTGAACTCTATATCATTTGCGCAACCAGAATTGGTACGCATTTATTTCACCATTATAAACATTCAGAGGTCAAATGCAAGAGTATGTTGTGTACATTTTACATAGGCTACGAAAAAGGAACATAACAACTAAACAACAAACTGTACAGGGACTTCAAAATAACATTTACCTTTTTTTCACAATAAATGTTTATAATCGAAGTTTACATTTTAAAGATTTAGTTGTCATTATTATTATTTAATGTCATTGTTCTTATTATTTATGTATTTAAATGTATACTCGACTGTGTTTGCAAGAAACATATTTTTATAAAGGCCTCCTTCACTTCTATTCTTCAAAATCTCAATTAAAATATCAGCCAACACAATAGTTGATAAATAAAGAGAATTTGCACAAACAAATTCTAGTATAGCATATTAAAAAAACAACACTGCATGGGCATTTGCTGGGGAAATATTATTATTTGTATTATTATTATTATTACTTAGTTGCCTAGGTCGTTATGCCTGCTCTCAGTTTCGGAAACTATTTAATTGCTGTTTTGATGGGCTAAACAATGTCCTGTTTATGCTTTATTTTGCATCTGAAAAGGCATTTAAAAAAATGATGATCACGTTAACACTACTCATTGCTTATATGCAACATACACAATCTTTACCAATAATCAATCTATTGTCTGTGTTCTTCCATCCCATAAAATGGAGGCTAAAGAGAAATAGCCAAACTAAGGAGAGCAATAATTTGTGTTGTCTGTCTTTTTAGCATCTAATATTGAGCACACACAAAAACACACACATACACACACATTGCCTTTTATGCAGCACTCACTATCTGCCTGTCTGTCAGTCAAAACTTGAGCTCTTTTCACATTTCCGCCTGGCGGAAACTGACAAAAAAAGGAACAAGCCTTTCTTGACAGAAGTGACACAAGCAGCGCAGACTCAGCTACACAGACCACAACCTACCCAGCCCGAGAGGGGAACGACACTGCTGAAAATTGTTCTCAGAAAACCTGGGTGAACTTCTTCAGAGGTGTGAAAGAGGCACAAGAGTCCCACCACTTTCCACATCTTAAAACTTTGGACGGAGGAGACTGACGGTATTTTTCTTTCAATTTGTGTGTGTGATGTGAGAGAAAAGGAGAAAGCATGAGGACAGAGAGGTCATTAAGGCTTCATGTGTACACGTTATGCTTGTTTATACTTTAAATGTTGCGTAATTTATTAGGTAACAAGCTCAACAAAATATAATGTGAAAAAGTGAAGTGGAAGTAGTCGTGGTTCAGAACTTATATACAAAAACATACAGATGAAGAAAGTCAAGGCCTTCAAAAGAAGTAAGGAGGGTTGCAGGCATGTCATAGTCTTTGTTATGTCATTGTCTGTGATGCAATTCTTAAAGTTACCTATACATTGAACAAAGATGAACCGTTTAATCCTTTAAAGTAATATATTTTAAATGGGCTTACACTTTCATACACATGCAGTGGGTCTCTGTATTGGCATTGGATGAACGTCTCCTATTGGGCGGGTCAGTAAGCGGAAGTGTGTGTCACTGGTGATTGTTCAAATTAGAAACAGGAAGTGCTCATCAAACTGGACATGTTGCCAGGATCAACGCACTCCCCTTGTGTGTGTGTGTGTGTGTGTGTGTGTGTGTGTGTGTGTGTGTGTGTGTGTGTGTGTGTGTGTGTGTGTGTGTGTGTGTGTGTGTGTGTGTGTGTGTGTGTTACTCAGTATCATGTGATACTGAACTATGATGAAAACCTTTTTTTTCGAAGTTGAGAGGCTGTGTGATTGACAGGTTATCTTGGTCTCATTTATGTCTGAAATACTTTGTAAACTTAAGGCAGGGTTTTGATGATCAGATCAATCAAGTTCTATACAAAAATCGTATTCTTGTGCATTTCTTAGCATATATTCTTGTGTTCTTGTTTTTAAATGTCCTTTTAACAATTAAATAATGCTTTAAAGTGCATATTTCTTACTCATGACATGCACACGTCCCTAAAACAATTGCTTTGTCGCCTAACATGATGTTGTATATTTTAAAAAGGGTGTTGGCAGTTTCATCAAAGTGTTGGAAAAAAACTCATAATAAAGTAACCTCACCGGTAAATTAAGTTGTTCTCCATTTTCCTTGCCTGTTTTGTCTGAGCTGTTAATGCACTTGTTGGCCAGCTTTTGATAACAAGCGTTTTGCTTTTCTGGTTTCTTCTCCTTTCTGTCTATATGCCAGGCCTTTTTCGCCCGGTATGTCGGCGTGGGACCTGTTAGTCACGGTGGAGGACCTGGGGTCTGACACGCCACCTGTCACCCTCAGCGTGGCCTCTGACCTCCACGTTGGAGGGGTCATCCTGAAGCTGGTAGAAAAGACACGTAGGTCTCAGTCCCTCTGTCCGTCTTTCATTCAGTCTGTCTGATTGTTTGTCTGTCTTTTTGTCTGTCTGTCTGTCTGTCCCAAGTTCAATGCAATGACTCACAATTGTTACCTTATTTGTATACTGTATAAGGGCCAAAATTCAGACAGTGTATGGGTAACACTTTGAAAAGATGTAATGCTGCATGCATTACAAAAAATCATGCAACAGTTAAGTAACCAATAAAGTTCTTCAGCATTTGCCCTAAAAGAGCAAACATGTCAAACTAAATTCCAATCTTGAAACCAAATGAACCTGATAATTCTTACTTTATGGCATCACATGCTGGCGTATTCTATCTAACAGTCTCTGTACATGGTGATTAATACTGTTAATGTAAACGTTAAACATTTTAATACTACAAAACAAGCCTAAATAAGCCTAATGTTTGAAAGTATTTCTTTAACTGACATTTCAATTGGTAGTCAGTCCTTTTTGTTGAGTTACAATAAATTGTTTGACATTTTCGAGATCTCTAAGTGTGATATTCGTCAAATTTACATATTTTCGCATAGTCAATGTAATTTATGTAATCTACACCTACACGGACATTAAAAGAAAGGCGCAACAGAAAGATTGACCCTGACGTGATTTGAACACGCAACCTTCTGATCTGGAGTCAGACGCGCTACCGTTGCGCCACAGAGTCTGATATGCATAAAGGAGTGGTTTATTTATTAGACCACACAGACTGCGCGGAAGAACACAAGCAAAAACTATCAGACATTACATTGACATAATTTCTAAATTAAACTACTGTTTAATAACGGTAGGACTAACATATTGTTTTAAATGTTTATCACTGTTGATAAATGATCCAAGGTATATACTTTATGAACTGTTAAAGTGACTAATTTACTCATTGTAAAAAGTACAATTTCCTTAATTAATCTCTAATTGATCTAATTAATTTATGAGCGTGAAATCTATGTTGTAAATTCAGTGGCGAACCGTCAGGGCCTTCAAGGTATTCAGAGAATACCCTGGAACACTCAGATAAAACAAACAAAAAATCGATTTAATTATATAAATAAAATGTATATAAAATGAATAAATGAGAATCGTATCTGTGTTGTTGATCTGTAATATTACAGTGTTACGTTGATTTGTTTGTCCTCGGACCATGCACTACGCATTTCAGTGGTTTTGTGTTAGAAAAGAAAGCAACCAATCAGATCTTGTCCTTCAACAAGGTATTCTAAATCCTTGATCGAATGCCCTGGCCGTTGCACTGAATGAGAGCGTACGTTTGGACTGACAGTTTGATCAACCAATCATATATTGATTTGTAGCCAATGGGCGTATTCTTTCAGAGTTTCCCTCGGTTCCAGGGTATTCTAGAAGGCCCGCTAGTTAACTGGCTCGAGACAGAGGATCTAGAATGCGACGAAGCAATTCATGCCGTTTTATTGTTTTTAACGTTGAAATTACAAGTGCAACAGGTGAAGATGAAGTTGTTGCGGAATTGTTGTGAGTACCCTTTTCAAGACGACAATTCAGTGAAAAGACGGACATTATAATTCCGCGGAGGGCGGCGGCGGTGGCGGTGGTGTGTGTGTCTACAGAAGGTCCAGTTGTGATAGACACGGTTCGCCACTGTGTAAATTACCAAAGTGCTTTCAAGCCATTCAGACCGTAATACAATTCCTAAACTAGGTTTTGTTCATTATTCATTATGTCTCTTTAAAGTTTTAAAAGTAATAATATTAACATTCCAATACCTGACAAGAAATTCCCCAACCCTATCCAAAGCCAGTCAGGCCTAAATTTATTGTAGGACGTTTTTTTTTAAATTTTGTCATTATTAACTTGTAAAGCTTCTTTGAGCACCAGGAAAAAGGGCTTTATAAATACTATGTATTGTTGATATTATTATTATTATTATTATTATTATTATTATTATTATTATTATTATTATTATTATTATTATTATTATTATTATTATTATTATTATTATTGTTACATTCAAAATTGACATTAGCAGAAAATCTGAAATCTGAAGTCTGCAAGCGAGCATTTCATCACAGAATCTCATGAGAAATGGGGATATACAGGAGACTTTGTTCTCCTGGTTTAAGAGGAGTGTTTGTCGGTTGAATGGCCAGTAGAATAATTAATGAAAGGGTCTATCAGTAGTTTGGGTACCACTTCGTAGTTATTAATGGGAAAACCTGTCCAAACTTTGATCGAGAAAATTACAAATCAAACAAAGATTACTGCCTCACTTCATACAAAATAGCTTAAACTATAGATGTTCTATGCGTTTCAGTTTGCAGCAACATGTGTTTTGTGTCTGTCCTCTGCAGAGATAAAGCGTGATTGGTCAGACCATGCACTGTGGTGGGAACAGAAGCAGCGGTGGCTGCTGCGAACGGCCTGGACTCTGGAGAAATATGGCATCCACGCTGACGCCCGGCTTGTCTTCATGCCCCAACACAAGCCCCTGAGGCTGGGGCTTCCAAACGGCAACACCCTGAGGCTCCGTGCCTGCTTCTCCAGTTCCGTCTTCCAGACAGTGATGGGTGTCTGTAGGATGCTCAGTGAGTTTCTGCCTTTTTATTTTTTCCTTGTTTCACTTATATTATTTAGTTCTTTATTTATTAACTAACTTATTTGAATCATTACTTCTGAACTGACGTGATTGGACGAGGGATGTTAAAAGTGCGAACCGTTTTACTCTTATGGCGCGTTTCCACTGCAGCGAGGAGCCCCGTTTAAGAGAGCTGTGACGTCAGCGGCCCGTTTTTGGTTGCGTTTCCACTTGGCCTACTGGCTAGCGGGTACTAATTCACAGTTTTTCTGGCCCCATAAAATCGTGGTTCTAGGGCCAGGAAAAACCAGGCTGAGTCGGGCTGAGTATGCTAAACTAGAGAGAGAATCGCTGGCAAAGGGGCTACAACTACAACAAAATGAATATATTTGACCGTGATTTAATTGTAATACACGTTTCAAAATGATGCCGAAGTAACACAAGTCTGCAGACAGACGGCAGGCGAAAAACCTTTTAAAATGTGTGTTGTCTAAAGGCCCTGACACACCAGGCCGAAATCGGCCGTTTTCGTTAGTCGGACGACGAAGCGTACCCTGTCGCCCAAACTCAATTTGGTGTGTCCCGCACCGCCTGCCGTGACACGCCTTATTTGGCCTTTCACAGGCAGTCGGACAAAGAAATCACACTGATTGGCTGTTCAGCTAGCGAATCAGTGCATGAGAAGCGAAACGGTTGCTTGTGAATGTCTTCCACAAGCAACACTCCAATGGCTGATAGCTCCAGTACCGCACGAAACATGTTTTTGATAGACAAGAGTGAAAATGGAACACGCACGCTATTTGTTGTTTGTTTATATCACGTAGTCTGTTCTTCTTCTCTGTCTTCCGGTTGTTGCCTCTTTTGAATGACGAATACACACTACCGCCGTCTGCTGGTAAGGAGAGTTATTGCCGCTCACGCATGCGCAGTTCGTACGTGCTCGGCTGAAGTCTTTGCGGTGTGTTCCAGTGCGACACATGGCCAAGACGCAGGAGAACACGCCGACGCAACAGTCGGCGTCGGCGTCAGCGAGTTCTCTGGTGACTGCTTGGTGTGTCAGGGACTTAATGGAGATCGGCTAAGCTAACGCAGTGTATGCTCCGACCGTCCACACTCACAACAACGGCCTATACAGACATAAATAAACCAGCGACTGTATTCGCCATGACACAGTCTGTGGTTTGTACTGGGACCAGAAGATATATTGAAGTGACGTGATTGGACAAGAGATGTTCTAATCTTCAGAGTTCCTACTGTTTTTCTGCCGAGTCTAAAAGACTCTTGATAGCTTTTTGTGTAGTTGTCAGTTGAGTTACTTATTGAAGTCTTGAAATGAGAATCTGCATTCTTTGATGAACACAAATGTTGACCCTGACATGATTTGAACACGCAGCCTTCTGATCTGGAATCAGACGCGCTACCGTTAAGCCACAGAGCCTGTTTAAGTTTCTGATTATGCCAAAAACCTGCCAAGTTAACCTTAAGTGTGGGGCCAGAAGATATATTGAACTGACGTGACTGGATGAGAGATGTTCTAATCTTAAAACCCATTACCATTTAAGGCGAGACACCCCAGGTGAATAGGGTACATTTTTTAACTTAAAGGTATCAGCTAGATATTTCTCCAGTTAATTACTTATAATAAGGCAATTGTCTTTTGTATTACAAGTTTCTGAAATAGCATGTTTAAATATGCAAATTATCCATTATCTCATTAAATATGCACATATTTTAACACATTTCAGGAATCGAAATCTGAACTTTGGATATAGCCAGATTCAAAATTCTTGTTTCATTTTGTAGTCATATTAGTATCTAAGGCTTTTACAGAAGGGATATTGGATATCTCTTTTTATCACTCCATAAATCAGAAAATACTGTCAACAGCCCTAAAATATCCATTTTCGCCATGTTTTTAGGTATACAATGTTGTATAATTCAGGCTATGAATTATATATGAACAAACCCTTCTCTAAAAGCCTTCATAATATTGATAGGAATATAACTGGAAGGTTTGGTGTATGTACGTGCTACTGAAGTTGAAATTTCGAACTCAGAGTAGGAGAAAAAACTCATTTTGAGAAAACGACCTTTAAAGATTGCAGTGAGGCGCTAGCTAAACCCTCCTGTTTTTTGTATGACAGCTTGCGCATCGACGCAATCCGTGGAGGTATTTCATGTTCAGGGTCATTTTTTTTTTTAGAACCTTGCTTCGTGCAAGTGACAATTGTTGTCGTCTTCTCTGTGAACGTTTTTTTCGCCGTTCTTTTGGCATTTTGAGATTTCAATTTCTAGCTGAAAGCTAACCAGGAAGTGTTTTAGCACACCACGTGACGCATCTGAACGAATCACGTTGTCAGAAATTGACACCAGCCAATGAGATTTCGTTTCTTGGTTTAAGACCCCTTTGTGCTTTCACGATTGGTTGCTGATACAAAGGAAATGACCATATTTGGATCCGATGAGATTGTGCAGGAGAGACGGAGCTTTCCAGCGATACCTCTGTTGACATGGTGCACACAGCGGTCGCGGTACTTTATGTTACGTTAGAATGCTAACTTTTGGTCAATTTAGGAGAAATCTACAGACGCAAATAGACAAACTATAGTAAAATAAACACTTAAATGTGTATTTTGTACGTTTTCCTTCCAAAAGCCTGAAAGAAAACATGTTATGGAATCAAAATAGCACAACATTTGTTGTAGTTTTCAGTTGTGGGTGTTAATTTAGTCTTCAAATGAGAACCAGCATCCTCTGATGAAACACAAATATTGACCCTGACGTGATTTGAACACGCAGCCTTCTGATCTGGAGTCAGACGCGCTACCGTTGCGCAACAGAGCCTGTTACAGTTCTTGATTGTGCCAAAAACCTGCCAATTCAACCTTTAGTGTGGGGACAGAAGATATATTGAACCGACATGATTGGACAAGAGATGTTCTAATCTTCAGAGTTCCTACTGTTTTTCTGCCGAGTCTAAAAGACTCTTGATAGCTTTTTGTGTAGTTGTCAGTTGAATTCCTTATTGAAGTCTTGAAATGAGAATCTGCATTCTTTGATGAAACACAAATATTGACCCTGACGTGATTTGAACACGCAACCTTCTGATCTGGAGTCAGACGCGCTACCGTTGCGCCACAGAGCCTGTTTCAGTTTCTGATTATGCCAAAAACCTGCCAAGTTAACCTTGAGTGTGGGGCCAGAAGATATATTGAACTGACGTGACTGGATGAGAGGTGTTCTAATCTTAAAAGCGATTACCATTTAACCGCAGTCTAAAAACCTCCTGATAGAATTTGTTGTAGTTTTCAGTTGTGGGTGTTAATTTAGTCTTCAAATGAGAACCAGCATCCTCTGATGAAACACAAATATTGACCCTGACGTGATTTGAACACGCAGCCTTCTGATCTGGAGTCAGACGCGCTACCGTTACGCCACAGAGCCTGTTACAGTTCTCGATTGTGCCAAAAACCTGCCAAGTTAACCTTGAGTGTGGGGCCAGAAGATATATTGAACTGACATGATTGGACAAGAGATGTTCTAATCTTCAGGGTTCTTACCGTTTTTCTGCAGAGTCTAAAACACTCTTGATAGCTTTTTGTGTAGTTGTCAGTTGAGTTCCTTATTGAAGTCTTGAAATGAGAATCTGCATTCTTTGATGAAACACAAATATTGACCCTGACGTGATTTGAACACGCAACCTTCTGATCTGGAGTCAGACGCGCTACCGTTGCGCCACAGAGCCCGTTACAGTTCTTGATCTTGCCAAAAACCTGCCAATTCAACCTTTAGTGTGGGGACAGAAGATATATTGAACTGACGTGACTGGATGAGAGGTGTTCTAATCTTAAAAGCAATTACCATTGAACCGCAGAGTCTAAAAACCTCTTGATAGAATTGGTTGTAGTTTTCAGTTGTGGGCCTTAATTTAGTCTTCAAATGAGAACCAGCATCCTTTGATGAAACACAAATATTGACCCTGACGTGATTTGAACACGCAGCCTTCTGATCTGGAGTCAGACGCGCTACCGTTGCGCCACAGAGCCTGTTACAGTTCTCTATTGTGCCAAAAACCTGCCAAGTTAACCTTGAGTGTGGGGCCAGAAGATATATTGAACTGACATGATTGGACAAGAGATGTTCTAATCTTCAGGGATCCTACCGTTTTTCTGCCGAGTCTAAAATACTCTTGATAGCTTTTGTGTAGTTTTCAGTTGTGGGCCTTAATTTAGTCTTCAAATGAGAACCAGCATCCTTTGATAAAACACAAATATTGACCCTGACGTGATTTGAACACGCAACATTCTGATCTGGAGTCAGACGCGCTACCGTTGCGCCACAGAGCCTGTTTCAGTTTCTGATTATGCCAAAAACCTGCCAAGTTAACCTTGAGTGTGGGGCCAGAAGATATATTGAACTGACGTGACTGGATGAGAGGTGTTCTAATCTTAAAAGCGATTACCATTGAACCGCAGAGTCTAAAAACCTCTTGATAGAATTGGTTGTAATTTTCAGTTGTGGGCCTTAATTTAGTCTTCAAATGAGAACCAGCATCCTTTGATGAAACACAAATATTGACCCTGACGTGATTTGAACACGCAGCCTTCTGATCTGGAGTCAGACGCGCTACCGTTGCGCCACAGAGCCTGTTACAGTTCTCAATTGTGCCAAAAACCTGCCAAGTTAACCTTGAGTGTGGGGCCAGAAGATATATTGAACTGACATGATTGGACAAGAGATGTTCTAATCTTCAGGGTTCCTACCGTTTTTCTGCAGAGTCTAAAAGACTCTTGATAGCTTTTTGTGTAGTTGTCAGTTGAGTTCCTTATTGAAGTCTTGAAATGAGAATCTGCATTCTTTGATGAAACACAAATATTGACCCTGACGTGATTTGAACACGCAACCTTCTGATCTGGAGTCAGACGCGCTACCGTTGCGCCACAGAGCCCGCTACAGTTCTTGATCTTGCCAAAAACCTGCCAATTCAACCTTTAGTGTGCGGACAGAAGA